GAGGTCAGGAGTTTGAGACCAGCCTGGCCAGTGTCTACTAAAAATTCAATTAGTCGGGCATAGTGGTGCGCGCCTGTAGTCCCAGCTACTCGGGAGGCTGAAGCAGGAGAATTGCTTGAACCCAGGAGATAGAGGTTGCAGTGAGCTGAGATAGGCGCCACGGCACTCCAGCCTCGGCAACAGAACGAGACTCAATCTCAAAAAAAAACAAAAAAAAAAAAACAAAAAGAGGCCATCTGACCCAGGGCAGTACAGAGAAGAAGAAAGGGGAATTCTGTGGACCCCCTACATAGGAATAGTACCACCCTATAGAAGGGCTGGTGTCTGCAAGTTCCTCAGCTGCCAGGAATGACCTCTTTCCTCTTCCCCCATGAATGTCCCCTCCCTGAAGCACCATCTCAGCCTATAGAGAACCAAGGAGGAGAAAGGGAAGACTGGCCTCAGCCTTTAGGGCCCATCTTTTTGGGAGAACAGGTGGCCCCTTTCTGGCCTTTTTCTCCCAGGGCCCCCATTCTGGATAGTTCACAGCAGCAGCAGGTAAGAGGAGCTCACCAGCTGCTCCTCTCTCCACCCCAGGGCAGCTTGTCTCATTCTCTCCTCTACCCACCTCCTCTCCCAGAATCCAGGCCACCAGATGGCCCGAGCAGGCTGTGTTTATTTGGGGCCATGGAAACCTGCAGCTTCCTTTTCCTGTTGCCTTGGGTCAGGTGCAGAGCTGGAGCCCAGCCTCAGAGCAATGATGTCATGGAAAGGTTCTGACTTTATTACTTATAACCCCTTAGCCCCGGAACTGAGAGAATGCCTGGTTTTGCTCCCCTGAGCAGCTTATTCCAGTTGCCATGGAGATGCCTCTATTCCCTTTGAGGTCTTGGGACTAAGTCAGACAGGGCAGGACCCAGGAGACTCCTCCCAACCTAGAGCCCGAGATATGTCAATTGTCACCCCTTCCTATCTGAGCTTATAAAGTCAGTGCTTGGAAAGTGGTTTATTCCTTCTTAAAGATTTGCTGTAGCAATGATGCTGAGATGGTAAAAGCTTGGTTTGATAACAATCTCCTGTTTAAATCAGCCAGCATCCCCGGGGGCACATTTTTCTAGAGAATTATGCTTGTTTCTAAAAATAGAACTCTACATTAAGAAACAATCGCTAGCATTACTAATAATTATGAACATTTATTTAGCCTTGTTTCCTTTTACCACATTGCCTCTCAACAAAATAACTTAACTAAGGTTTAGCTGTTTTCAAACACTGCTTGCTCGACTTTGAACCTTTTTCAGAATTGGAACTTGTGTGTAGTTCAGCCCTTAACGGCGCTATGAAAGGGTTCCAGTTAGCCGGCAGTTCTCTGAATTCTCTCCCTACTTCCCCAGGGGCCCCCTCTCTCCTGGCTGGAAGAAAGCACCATCTTGCTCCATAAAGCTGAAGGGCGGGGGATGACGTTCCACGTTTTGCAAACCTTTCTTTCGGTGACCTGCCTCCTCCTCCCATCTGGTATTTGTCCTGCAGAGCTGCTGGGTACAAGCCATTACACACACGTGCTCAGCGGGCAATTTGCGCATAGGCTGCCTTGTAAAAAGAGGCTGGCGTTCCTAAAACTCAGGTCTACCAGAACCCAGCTTTCAAAAATACATTCCTACAGAATTCATTTTATCAGTACTCATGAGGTGTCCACAACGTGCCATGTTCTGGGTGCTGGGGATACATCAGTGAGCCGGTGCCCTCCTGGAGCTCACATTCCAGCTAGGAGACAGCAATTAGACAATTAAGACTGAGTGATTTTTGTAAAGGAAGAGAAAAAAGATAAATCAGAACAGAGTAAAGGGACTGGGAAGCGCGGGGCGGGAGACGCCCCAGGCTTGCCGGGCAGGCCTCGCTGATGTTTGAATTGGGCAGTGGGCGGTCCAGGCGGAGGGCACGGACTCTGAAAGGGAGAGAAGTGGTGTTTCTGGGGCACACAAGATCGGGACACTCTTCCTGTAGTAGCTCGCTGTCTCGCCACCGTCCTCCCCCGCCAACCAGGCCTCCCGGAGGCTGCCGGCCCGGGAGCATCGCCGGAACCCCAGCTTGCCGCCTCCCCTCGGCGGGCCCTAGAAACTGCGCGGAACCAAAGCTTGAGGGCCACTCGAGTTTGCGGACCGCTGGGAGAAAGCGCCCGCCGGAAGCAGTCGCAAGACCCAAGCATGGCGGCCACCGGGTGCCTGCGCTGGAGCCTGAACCGAGCCGGAGTCTGGCTGCTCCCACCGCCCGCACGGTGTCCACGCCGGGCGCTACACAAGCAGAAAGATGGCACTGAGTTCAAGAGCATCTACAGCCTGGACAAGCTCTACCCCGAATCTCAGGGCTTGGACACCGCCTGGAGGGTCCCGGTGAGCCGGGAAGGACTGGACGGAAGGGGCGTTTTGTTAGGCTGTTGCGTGGTGTTAGGAACCCCGGGCCCCATTGGCCGGATGTGGAGCTACGTCGGGGGGCTACGTGACGGTCCCCGCGGGAGGGGGCTGGCTGTCCGCGCTAACCTGGCGGGGAGTGGGGTGCTTGCTGTAGCGCGAGATGTGCCGGAGCCGAGAAGGCCGGCTGGGTATACTTCTTTCGGGGCCGCCGGCTTTTCCACGTTCGTTTCCTTGGCCCTCAAGACCAAATTCCAGTCCCAAGGGGAAATATGGGCATTCTGGCCCCCCCAAGGCGGACAATAAAGGCAAGAGGCTGCCAGGTTGTTTGCTACCCTTTGGGACGTTACACTGTCCATTGCCTCCAGTAACCGCAGGACACGCGAATAAAACGGCTTCTCGATCGTTCCTTCAGGAGCATTTATTTAGCCCGCTGTGTGCAGGCACTGAATCAAGCCCCGGAGCAAGAGAGAGAAGACCCACCCAAACCTGTTGAGCTTCCACTTACAGGACTGGAAAAGAATATCCATTCATTTGTTCATTAATTCACTCGCTCACTCAACAAAAGCTGTGCTAAGCTAGGGGATGGAGTAGCAAACAAAATTGAAATTCTTTTTTTTTTTTTTTTTGAGACGGAGTCTCGCTCTGGCACCCAGGCTGGAGTGCAGTGGCCGGATCTCAGCTCACTGCAAGCTCCGCCTCCCGGG